ACACGCCTCCTCCAGCAAAGCCACACTGTCTAATCCTTCCCAAACAGTTCCACCACCAGGGGACCAAGTATTCACACACATGAGCCTGTGGGGACCATTCTCATTCAAACCACACAGCCCCAAAGTACCAATAGTTTCCCTCTGCTGTCTTGCCCTTCCTTCCTCCCTCCTCCCTCCCTCCCTCCCTCCCTCCCTTCCTCCCTCCCTCCTCCCTCCCTCCCTTCCTCCCTCTTCCCTCCCTCCCTTCCTTCCTCCCTCCTCCCTTCCTTCCTCCTCCCTTCCTTCCTTCATTCCTTCCTTCCTTCTTCCCTCCTCCCTCCCTCCCTTCCTTCCTTCATTCCTTCCTTCCTTCCTCCCTTCCTTCCTTCCTTCCTTCTTCCCTCCTCCCTCCCTCCCTCCCTCCCTCCCTCCCTCCCTCCCTCCCTCCCTCCCTCCCTCCCTCCCTTCCTTCCTTCCTTCCTTCCTTCCTTCCTTCCTTCCTTCCTTTTTTGTTTTTTCCAGACAGGGTTTCTCTGTGTAGCCTTGGCTGTCCTAGAACTTGCTCTGTAGACCAGGCTGGCCTCAAACTCACAGACATCCAGCTGCCTCTTCCTCCTGAGTGCTGGGATTAAAGGCGTGTGCCACCACTGCCCTGCAAGTCTTAACTACCATTTCTTTAACAGTTTATGAGATCACAGTAAATGGAACTTCATATACAGTTTGGAGAGGGGCTAAAACACCTGAAAATGCACTACTTATCTAGTAAGGGACTATAAACGCATTTCCAGGAACTTGAGAGAAAACAATTCTTCATATTTGGGAGCTTTGTTGTTGTAAAATGCATTGTTTACATAGTGACAATAGGTGAAAGCAGTAATGTTTGGCCTTTGTTATGGCCTACTTCTAGGGTAAAATGACAGCCATATTACAACAGTCATAATTTGATTTGTCCTCAGTCAACTTAAGAAAGTGGTATTGGAGCTGGGCGTTGGTGGCACATGCCTTTAATCGCAGCACGCGGGAGGCAGAGGCAGGCGAATCTCTGTGAGTTCGAGACCAGCCTGGACTACCAAGCGAGTTCCAGGACAGCCTCCAAAGCCACAGAGAAACCCTGCTCGAAAAACCAAAAAAAAAAAAAAAAAAAGAAGTGGTATTGGGGGCTGGCGAGATGGCTCAGCTGTTAAGGGCTAGGCTCACAACTCAAAATATAAGAAAGTGGTATTGGGTTCATAATTTTGGTTTCCCCACATTTGGGCTGGAGAGAAGGCTTAGCAGGTAAATGCTCTTGTCGACAGCCTGATGACCTGAGTGGATTCCCTGGATCCCCAAATGGAAGAAGAGAAGCAAATGTTTGTGTTGCCGCATTCTGACCTCCACAGGTCTCTCTCTCTCTCTCTCTCTCTCTCTCTCTCTCTCTCTCTCTCTCTCTCTCTCTCTCTCAAATCAATTTCCCCTAGCTAATTAATAAGAGTGCATTTGCAAATCTGGAGGTCAATACTGTAAAGACCTGTACCATAGATGAGTTATTAGAGGCACCTGGCTTTCATCACCTATAAAGCTAAACTTGGCTCAGGGTGAGGAGGTTAATAAACACCACACGTAATTCTCACGGCCATCGTTCTGGCAAATGTCCCGCTTCACCTCAGACCTTAGGCCCTTTTTAGTCATTCTAAAAGCGATATTTGCAAATTTATGTTTTAAACGTATTAGGGAACCTGACAGGGGTTTTATGGCATTTCCTGTGTAATGCTACGTGTTGCTAAAGTCAAGATTTAAGGACACCTAGGAATTTTTTTTATATAGTTCTTACATACATGTGTTCAAATTGTGTTCAGTGTCTGAGAACAGAACAACTGATGTGTTAAATATACCGAGTCCCAGGCTCCCCAGAGAACATTTAAAATCATTCTCTGGGACTGGGGAAATGGCTTACCAGTTTAGTACTGACTGCTCTTCCAAAGCTCCGTGCAGCACCCATATGGCAATCTGATACCCTTTCTGATCTCCTTGGCCATCAGGCAAACTCACCATACACAGACATACATGCAGACAAAAAGCCTACACACATAAAATAAAAATCAATAAATCTAATTTTTTAATTACTCTCTGGTAATACAGTCTGGTATTCTGTACCTCTAGCAAGCAGACCAGGGGGTTTATTTCATACACTGAAGTTTGACAATCAAACCATAAAGAACATGAAATTTCTCTCAAGTTTATGAGAAAAACAGAAACAAAAACATCAGAAATAAACAATCAGTCAAACCTTACAAGCAGCAAGCTTCAGGACAGTGGCCTGGTCTCTAGAGGTAAAAACTAGTAAAGTGTGGTGACCCATGCCTTCTGTAATCCCTGGAAGCAAGATCAGGAAGGAGGTCAAGGCTAGTTGTGGCTACATACAAGGAATTCAAAGTTTTCTAGGACTGCAGGGTGCAGGAAAGAAACTACACAAAACCTGATGAATGGCTACACAAAATGCTGCTCCTTATAAGGCAGTTATTGCTCAACCATAAAATAAACTGATGTGTGGTTTGTGATATAACTTGGTGAAAATGACTATCAATGAAGGAAGCCTGGTTTTAAAAAGGCCACCTATGTGATTCCATTTATATGAAAACGTAGAAAAAAAAATCCATAGAGAATGCTTTCTATGGATTGGGGAAGTTTTTTAAAAATGTATTTATTTATTTTTAATCTGCATACATGTGAATCTGTGTGTGAACTGTCAAGAAGTTAGAGGAGGACTTCAGATCCTCTAGACCTAGTTACAGGCAGTTGTAACTCACCTGAAGTGGGTGCTAGGAACTGAACTCTGATTTTTGGCAAGAACAAGTGCTCTTAACTGCTGAGTCATCTCTCCAGCCCTATGGGGCTTGTTTGCTTAACAAAACACTGACTGGCCGGGCACTGGTGGTGCACACCTTTAATCCCAGCACTTGGGAGGTACAGGCAGGCAGATCTCTGTGAGTTCGAGGCCAGCCTGGTCTACAGAGCAAGCTCCAGGACAGCCTCCAAAACAATACAGAGAAACCCTGTCTTGAAAAAACCAAAAAAAAAAAAAAATAAAATAAATAATAATAATAATAAATAAAACACTGACTGTGCAAATGATCTGGGAGTAGACAATAGTAGTGATTATAAAATCTAGAGGAATATTTAAAATATTGATTTGTTCACTTAAAAGGGTGACATAACACTTGCATTTAATCTCAAAAAGTTATCTTAAAAAGTCAGAGATAAACCGGGCATTGGTGGCGCCCTCCTTTAATCCCAGCACTCGGGAGGCAGAGGCAGGCTGATCTCTGTGAGTTCGAGGCCGGGCTGGACCGACAGCCTCCAAAACAAAACAGAGAAACCCTGTCTCGTAAAACCATAAATAAATAAATAAATAAATAAATAAAAAATAAAAAGTCAGAGGTATTACAAAGCAGGTCATTGTTTTTCTAGACTACATGAGGCTTAAAAGAAACACAAATAAACATAATGAATGAACTTTGAGTCGTTATTGAAAGGAAGATTCTGTAAAGTAACATTGTATGACAATAGAGAATCTGGGTGTGAACTTGGAGTCATTGTTTGTTTTAGCAATTACATTGGCATTGTCCTCAAGCATGATTGTGTCTTTTCTTTCTAAATAGATACTGAAGTACTTAGAGGTGAAATAAATGAGGGTTCAGAGTTGTTTTAAAATACTTTAACAAATCAAAAAAGATAGCTACAACGAGTATACAAAGTAAGTGGCCTGTGGTGAACGATTGTTTCCTGGGAGAATACACAGGTGTGGCTCCTTGAATTTTTTTTTATGCATGTTTGGAAATTTTCCTTCTTCCAAAATTAAAAAAACAAACAAACAAACAAAAAAAACCTTGCAAATAAAGTCATCTCACACCCTGGAAATTTTCTTCAAAGTTAAACATATAGCCAGGCATGGGGGTGCAGGGCTGTAGTCCCTTCTACTCAGGAGGCTGAGGCAAAAGGACAGAAAGTTCCAGGCTTGCCTGCACTACAGTGAGTTCAAGGTCAGCCTGGGTAACTTAGTCAGATGCTGTTTCAAAGTAATAAAAGAGGATTTGGGAGGGGTAAAGCACCGAGGGTAGGCTCCAGTTGGTCAGAATCATTCCAGATTGCCAACGAATGACTGAATTAGGTTTATTTTTCAGTTCCAAGACTCTTCCTTTGTAGTTGGGCTACAATTGCTACAGTGAAACAAAAGCAATGTCTCTCTATTATCCAAAGAAACTGTTGTCCTGTCATTTCAATACGGTAGTGGCTGACTGCTAATACTTATTCCTAAAATTTGCCTGACACCAGATCCCACCCCATTCTCCTGTTCAGAGACACTGGTACAGCTTTTTATTCTTGGTACAAAATAAAGTTAGCAGGGCCTCCGAATGCGTTCACCACAAGCACCTTCGTCTCAAGCCACACTACCCCAGCATCTTTCCGTTCCATTTACAATTCGGGGCCCTCAAGTGGGCAAGCTCTTTCCTTTTCCACCTCTGGGCCCAGAGCAAGCTGTTCTTTCTAACTATATAGCTCCAATCAAACAGAGGGTGTTCATTTCCCTCTTCCTGCCCAACTCGTTCTGCGTTCAGACAGATGATCTGGGTTCAAATCGCAGAATCACCCTTGCTAAACTGCTCTCTGGCCCCAGTAAGTCGCTCAACATGCACCCTTGCCCATCTACACCTTAAGGTTGATGGGGGAAAAAAAAGACATTTTGAGGAATTAACTTGCAAACAGATCAGAAAGCATGTGGAAAATTACCTTTTTAGCTATAGGCCAATTTTACTCCGTTCCACCTACTGTTTGCCAAGTTCAAGTCTGTCACCTTGACTACACTGATGATGGTCCATCTCATTTCTCCCCCCCCCCCCAAGCCTCCTTCTTGACGATTATTCTCCACGAACACAGAAAATGAACACGGAAAAGGGGAGGTCCTTAGAGGGTCAGGAGAAGCAGCCCAGGGCGTGAACTAGCTGAACAAGACCGGATCTAAGTCGGAACGCATCGAGCACCGGCGTGGAAAGGAATGATCTTGACCTGGGGCAGCCTCGAAGAACTTGGGACCGCCCCTGAGACCCCCCCAGATCCCCCGTGAGGAGGACGACGCCTCGCACAGGGTCGCTAGGAAACACAGTGATGGGGGAACCTGCCTAGGGCAGCCAAGCCTGCCCGACCCGAGACGTCCGGGCGATTGACTGCCCTCCTGCCCCGCCCACAGTCTTTCTGAGGATTGGCGGCTTCCTTCTTCCTGTCCTGCCCCCTCCGAACGGCCCGCTGATTGGCTGCGGCTTTCTGGTCAGCCCCGCCCCCTCCCTGGCGCTAGTATCAGCGCATCGAGCACGGCCTCGGTCTTTCTGTCTCCGGCTTGGAGGTGAGTGTCCTCTGGGAGGGTGTCCTGCGGGAGGATCGTCACACGTCCCCTCGAGCTTTGCCCGCCCCGAGCTCAGCTGCTCCCGGCGGCCAGAACGGAGGGGTAGAGTAGCTCTCGGTGGCCCGCAGGGCGGGCGGCCGTGCCCAGTCCGGGGCCGCTCGAGACACAAGTATCCCCTACGCTGTCCGGCCCGGGCGCCCTCACCACCGCCCTTTTTCTCTGCAGGCCGAACCTCCGCAGCCAGGTCCCCAACCCGCAGTCGTGCGACTGCCTCGGATCCAAGTGCAGGTACGTCCTCTGGCATTGATCGAAGGCTGGCCCGGGCCACGTGGCCCAGACGACCGAGTGTTCCCGGCCCGTGTTTGTTGCGCTGCGTAGGCCTTTCCACATCGCCCTTTCCTGTGCCCTTTTAAGGTTGTCGCGGTACTTTAAGAGGCTAACACAGAAGGGTAAAGGAATTCTCCATAAAACCCCTGGAGGAGACTGCTCCTCCTCCTGGGATCCTGTCTGGAGTCACAGGTCAGCCAGAAGAATTGCATTGCGTCTGGCGATTATGAAGTAGTGACTTAGAATATAAGAACTGAGCTATTTAATTTGACGAGGAGTACATTTACTTACCTAGAAATGAATATACTTTTCCACTTACCTGAAGCAATTTTTATTCATTTTTTTTATAGGTTGAAAGCTACAAGAAACTGAAAGCCTTGAAGTGTGTTCCAGGGGGGTGTAATGCATCCAAGGTGAAGTAGGCTCACCCGTGTCTCCTTAGGACTAGGGCTGTGGAAGCAGATTCATTGCCACCCACTTTGCTACTGAGATGGGTGCTGTAATCCCATTTTACAGATAAGAGTAAGTCCGGGCGGTGGCTGCCCACGCCTTTAATTCCAGCACTCGAGGCAGAGGCAGTGGATCTCTGAGTTCAGATCATCCTGGTCTACAAAAGCTAGAGTATCATGTGAGAGTATCCCTGAATAGCCTTGTAATTGCACTGAAGGAGGTTTCTCCATGCCTGGCTGCCCTAGAACTTAGATTAGCTTGCCTCTGCCCCTGAATGCTGGAATTAGAGGCCTGTGCCACCACACCTAGCTATGACATTGTAAGGGACTTACGTATAGCAAAAGGGGGGGGGTTAAATGACTTGCTAGGTCTAGGTCATTTGGCTGTGTTGGTATGGGAAGTGGTGCTTGTATTCCCCTGGATGCTAGAACAAGTTCTTTGCTACTGCCTAGTCATCTATATATTGCTTTACCGCTGATTTTCCAGAATCTTAAATAAAAGCTATTTTAGAATCTGTGTCTGTTTCTTTACTATTTGGAACAGTCTGTTCTAACATGTAGATCCCTTTGATCAACCTTGCGCTGACATGTCAGGCTTGGTGCCTTGTACCTTTAGCTGTGGGGTTGTTTTGGCCTTAAACATCATCTCTTCTATGTTGAATGAGAAAAATGAAAGAGTATGGCTGCTCCTAGGTATGGTGGAGACCATTTAATGTGGATAGAGGTGGAGTCAGCTGGCCAAGTCCAGAGTGAACATAACCAGAAGAGGCCATGTGGGGAGAGGGGAACCAGCCTAGAAGCCAAAGGGTGGGTCTGGATTTTATGGGGAAGAGCCTCGGGAGGTCAGCCCAGCCCCTGGGCTGTAGACCGGGTAGTGGGTGGAATATGCCAGCCATATCCTCTAACAGGGACTGAGGTGTGCTGGGAGTCAGGTCTGCTCAGCGTTTTGTTCAGGGTTTTAGTGCTGAATATTGAGCCCATTTCCATTTCCTGGGCAGGGTCTGTGCGGACAGACGTGACATCACACTCAACTTTTACATGGTTCCAGGGGTCTGACTTGTCATTAGTCTGCATGGCACTTTATCTGCTTTTTAGTTTTCAAGCTAGGTTGTAGAGGAAACCGGCATGGAGGATACAAAAGTTGTCTGTACGGGTAAAATTATCAGTATCTTATATCAAATGTTCCTGTTTATTCAGTAGTCTTTATGTTTAATAAACGCTTCTGTGACCAAACCAGACAAAACTCAGCACAGTTGACTGCAATCATTGGCCACACTGCCAGGTGCTCAGTAGTCCCTGTGCCCCGGGGCAGCACAGTACAGATTTCCACTTTTATAGGTTATTGGTGGTGCTGTTGTAAAGGCCATATCCTTAACTTTCTTTTTGAAAAAGACAACCTGTAGACAGTCCTTTGTAGAGGAATAAGATTGGAATGGAAAGCCAGCTCCTGGAGCTGGAGAGATGATGGCTCAGCAGTTAAGAGCATTGGTTGCTGCTCCAGAAGTCCTGAGTTCAATTCTCAGCAACCACATGATTGCTCAGAACCATCTTTAATGAGGTCTGGTGCCCTCTCCTGGCCTGTTTATGTCGACTAGAGTCCTAGTGTGTCCTCAGTATCCCAAAGACCCTGTATGAAGCAGAAGACAGGAGTCAGGAAGCTGGAGGGGAACATTACCCTGTTCTTGAATTGACTCAGGGAAACTGACTAATCTAGATGAGCATGAGGCTAAAAATAGGGTTGCCAAGTAGCTTCTAGAATCAGTAGGAAGGCACATGCCCTATCCAGAAAATGCTTTAGTTGAAAGGTATAATTTGCCGGGCATTGGTGGTGCATGGATCTCTGAGTTCGAGGTCAGCCTGGTCTACAGAGTTCCAGGACAGCCTCCAAAACAATACAGATTCAAAAAAGTATAATTTACAAAAATTTAATGAAATTTAGCAGGGAGAATATATTTGCCCTCAAAATATAGGCCACATAGTTTCACCTGTCTCAAAGCAAAATTAGGTAATTTGGTGGGTTTTGTTTGGTTGTCTTTAACACCAGTTTAAACTGCAATCCTGGGCAGCTCTGAACATTTTTGAAAGTATAGCAAAGCAGGCTGGAGAACTGGCTCACATTGCAAAGGATCTGGGTTTGGTTCCCAGCACCCATGTGAAAGCTCAGTCAATTCCAGTTCTAGGGGTTGAGCATGGGGTACCAGGCAAGTTCTGATTCACAGTGTGTATGTGAGCAAAATAATCTGTAAATTAAAAAGTATACCCAGGGCATCTCATGTAGGCTTTCTATTTCTGTGTTTAGGTTGCTATGTCACAAATAGACAACACAAGATGAGGAAGGAAACGTGTAGACTTGTTGGTTTCTGAGTATGTACTTGTTGAGTCCACTTAAAATGGAAATATAGGTTTATATAAGTTACAATTTTTTTAACGAGGATTGAGGATATATATAAAGAAAGTGATTAAAACTGCCTAATATTCCTTAACCTCCACCCTCTCTTATTTGTTGGGAGTCTCTGTAGTCCTGGTTGTGCTGGAATTCTGTGTAGACCATGCTGACTGGCCTCAAACTCAGAGACCCAACTCTGCCTTGGATTAAAGGTGTGCACCAGCTAGCCTGGCCCTTCTGTTTCCTGCTGTGGTAGTGCACGCCTTTAATCCCAGTACTTGGGAGGCAGAGGCAGGCAGATCTCTGAGTTTGAGGACAGCCTGGCCAAGGCTACATTGAGAAACCCTGTCTCAAAAAATGAAGACTCCAAAAGGAATTTCTTTATTGTCAGTCTGAGTGTTCTTGCCTGCCAGAACACTCTTTCCTTCCCAGATATTTCCATATAGAATCACATTAGTAGAATCTAGCTTTGTATTAGCTTGCAGGTATCTGAGTGTTCGAGCTCACCTTGAAGATGTGAGGCCCATGTGCTCTCAGGCTTAGTTCCTCACCCTGAGCTAGTTTGCTAGGCTCTGGATTAACAGCTCCATGCATTACCACTCCCAGTTTACAGGCTACACCATGCACCCAGAAGGCAATGAAAGATGTTTAGAGATGTTAAGACATTTCCCCAAGACCAACGAAAAACATCTGTACCCTGAATGTATACCCGACTTACAGGCTCTTGTTCTATTTGCTATGACCTCTGCAAGGTCAACAAAGGTAGCAATGAGAACATCAGTCCAGAACGTCTGTTTATGTGAAAATTTTCTTTCAGAGAGTTATCTTTGCAGCTACTTTTCTCGTAATTAATTGGTTGCTGGTACACCTCAGATTTCTGGCCCTCAGTCATTTTATGAATTCTGTGAGTGACTGGATAAGGTATCAGATTTAACAGTTGTTGGGTCACTTAGCCCCATTGGTGGTTCTCAACCTTCCTAATGCTGTGACTGCTAACCATAATTTTTTTTGTTTTTACTTTATAGCTATTTTATGAATTGTCATGTAAATATCTTCTATGAGAGACACCCCTACCGAAAGGGGTCAAAACCTACAGGTTGAGAACCTGTGTTAGATGACCCAATCAGTGCCAGCAACAGCTACTATGGTTAATTTCATAAGCTACTCATGAAGTATTGAGGAAAAATGCAAATATCCTGTGGGGAATTGAAGACTTAGACTATACCACCTCAGCCTTCCTTTCTCCACCTTTTAAGTTTATGTTTCCCCAACTATCAGTAAACAGGAGTGATACTTGAGGTGTCACATTACGGCAGACTGCACCACACACTTCCACACAGAATCTAATGAAAAAAAAAATGTGTCCTTAAAACCGCCCTTGGTCTGTATATTTTAGCTAGTTTGAGCTAGATACGGTGGTTCACAACTTTAATCTTAGCACCTGGGAGGCAGAGGTAGGCAGATCTCCTGAGTTCAAGGTCAGCCTGATCTACAAGGTGAGTTCTAGGACAGTCAGAGCTGTTACAGGAGAAACCCTGTCTTAAAAAAAAAAGAAAAGAAGAAAACAAAAGAATGAGTTAGTTTGAAGCAAGTATATAGCAAAGTACATGCTGATGTCTCCAGTCTGAATCACTATGTGTGACTGGGTAGCTAGAATTCCTGTTTTTGGAACTAACACTGCAAATGCTACATCATTTGGAGTTAAATGTGACACACTAAAAAAGAACATTTTGTAAGCTTAGAACGTTTTGCTTAGTTTTCAGGTCAGAGTCTGTAGAGATATTTGTATTGTTTTGAGTGTTTTCTCTGCCTATAAGTGTGCTCCGAGTTTGCCTGAGGGCACTGGGTCTCCCGGATCTCAATAGTTGTAGGCTGACATGTGCCTGCTGTAACAACCCAAGTGGTGTTCTCTTTGACAGCAACAAACACAGCCGTCAACCTATCTCCAGCCCCCACACCTTTGTTGTTTGGTTGTTTGGTTTTTGTCTGTTTTTTTCTGAGACAATTTCATGCCATCCTGGTGGGCCTTGAACTCACTATGTCACTGAGGGTGACTTTGAACTTCTGATCTTCTTACCTATCTCCTAGTCTTTTACAGGGTGCATGGAATCAAATCAAGGGCTTCTTGCATTCTAGGCCCTTTGTCAACTGAGGACAAGTCCTCAAGAGCATGTTTTTACAACTCATTGATAAGGTAGTAATGTCCAAAGAATGAATAATGTTTTATTGTATACACAAACAACCAATGAATATTATTTGAAGTTATGTTCATCTGTTGATGAACATTTGGACAAATTCCTCCTTTTGACTACTGTGAATGTTAAACTACACATTCATGTGCAAGTATCTGTTTGAATCTTTACTTCTATGTATTTACTGAGAAGTAATTGCTGGATTACCTGATATTTCTACTTCTAATTTCCAGGAAGTCATCCAATTTTCTCCACAGCAGCTACCCCACCTTATCACCAGGAATGCATAAGCTTTTTTGAAACACTTTGCATGTTTTATGAACCTTCTCACTCAAGGTTTATAATATTAAGTATAAGATAATTTGAGCCGGGCGGAGGTGGCACACCACTTTAATCCCAGCACTTGGGAGGCAGAGGCAATTGGATCTCTGTGAGTTCAAGGCCAGCCTGATCTACTGAGTGAGAGTTCCAGGACAGCCTCCAAAACAATACAGAGAAACCCTGTCTCGGAAAACAAAAAACAAAAAACAAAAACAAAACAAAAAAAAAGATAATTTGAAGTTACTTGCTAAGAAGGAATTTGATCTACATTGACAGTCCCTACAGTCCCTAACAGGAAGGGTCGAATTACTTTTGAGGGATGGGATAAGGACTGCAAAAAGTGTTTTCACAGGAAAGGAACTAAAAAGTATAATGTCGCCTTATCCACTTAAGAAAAACAAAACATGAGCTAAAGAGCGAGTGGGAACACCAGGAGTAGTCAATTCCCGTACCCAGGGTACCAAACCCTGCCTCAGGCACTACTGAATGCTCCTTTAAGACCAAAGAAGCCCCCTTCTCACTGCAGGGTACCCTTAGGTACCCGAGCTGGGAGCGGTTGGTCTACAGGAGTGACTCAGAAGTAAAACAACTCCAAGCTCCTGGGTTCGCGGGAC